AAACCTGATTTTGACACTGACATACCATTATTATTGAAGCTTTTCATACAACGAGTGAATGCTTTTCTCCTATCTAGACATACTTCATTAGAGAATTATTTTTATTCTGTTTACCAAGAGGATTAGAAGCATTGCATCTTTCCCATAAATTAAAAAACCTACAAGCCAACAATCTAAAAATTTGTACTCATCAGTCTCAACACACAAGAAGAGTAAAAATACCTGCAAGAAGAGATGGTGGAAAACGCAATGCTTTATAGGTAAGGGATTTGACACTAGATCACTGTCATACCGTGTCGAATTCTTGAGCCCCAAACCAGTATATGTTTCTAAGTAGGAACAAAACATATCCTGAAAATAATTATTCCTACAAGGAATAGCCATTTTCAATCTCAAAATACATATATGGGCAAACCCATTTAAAAACAAACTTGCTGCTGACTAAATGGCAAAGGCAAAAAGAGAAGAAAAAAGAATTTAAAAATGATGTGCCAAGCACACTCTGCTACGTGTTTGCTGTTGCTGATCCACCCCGCAGAGCACGCTGCATGCCATTTGCTTTGCTGCAGGTGGGCAAAGCCAGGAGCAAGAGCTACGGAGGCCCATGCACAATCATTTCTCTCATTGCTCTCTCTTGAGCTCCCCTCCCTAGTGTACTCTTTCACTTCTTTCTGCTGTACCAACACTGTTATCGCCAATGCAACAATACATGAATCAAATTCAGGAAAGTCACAGTGGGAAATTTTTCATAAGCCAGTTAGCCACGGTACATTCCTGCATTAAGCAAGGTGGGTTAACTAACAAACCTTGCACTGCTCAGAGAAGCGGAATCAAAGCAGACAACTAATTTCTAAAGATGTGCAATTAATTCCTCACCACAAAAGGAGATGTGCATTTTAAAAAACAGACTGACAATATACGGGATAATTAATTCACAGTCACTGTAAGACACAGCATATCTGGTTGTTGCATTTATGCTCTTCCAATACAGTAACACTAACATCTAAGAGAAAAGAAACCTGATTTTCATTTATGCAGCTCACACCTATTACGGGCAGGTAGTTAAGCCAATATGCTTTGGTACTGAATTATTAAGAATGTGATTCAAATTAATAGTTATTCAAAAAACAACAGTATCAAAAAAGTACATTTCACTGCAGTGGCAAAAACCACACAGGATATGCTTCAGCTGCATACAATCTGTTCAGCTGTACAGTTCAACGCAATTCAAACAAAATTACAGCTTGAGAATCAGGTATTACAACAGGCCTTTGAGAAGATATTTTTACTAAGACATTTCTTCTTGTTTCATTAGAATGGCTCAAGAAAGCAGGAGACAGGATTAAGTCAAGCCGTGACTAGGTAATACAGATACGTCTCTCAGAGACATAAAAATATCTGAAAGTGATTTTAATATTCAATTTAAAAAAAAAACAACCCAACCCCAAGAAGTGACTTTACCTGCTAAAGCTGCTGATAATCATGAGACAATTTCGTGAATTCTTGCACAGATGAGGAGACCTAATATTTGGTTTGGAGCACTCATGAGAATGATACAGAAGGAAGAGGTCAGGAATTGCCTGGCTGAGTACAGTTACCAACACTAAAATAACTTGTAATTAATAATAATGATAATGCCTCAAATAAATAAGTATTTTGGGACACAGAACATCTGGTTTCAAGTTGCTCTGACAGGTGAACAACACAAGAAATTGAGACTTCAGTTCTAAGGAAATAAAGAGGGTATTGGGATATCCTGAAAAGAAATAGGTTTCTTCACAATCAGATGATATGAAAAATGATGAGAGCGCGTGTCCAGTTTAGTGCTAGGGTTTCATACCAGAACATCCTACTTACTGTAGCAGAAATGCATCTCAGCTTTAACGCACATTCAAATCTTGGCAGGACTTACTCCCCTCCAAACCAAACTGTCTCTTCTCTGGACATTCCCTTCTTTTCTTAAGGGCACAGGAGAGCCTCCTGTCTTGCTTCATCCACCCTAGTAACTACAGGGAGCATTACAATATCTTCAGCAAGACCCTTCGTACACCCCACATTTTTCCTCTTCCCCGGTGCCCCCTTCCCTTTCTGTCTGCCCAGAACTACTGACATATCTCCTGGCTCCTCACAGCCCTTAGTGCATGGCAGCACTCCCACCCCTTCACTTCGTCTCATCTTGGGCATCTGCCCACTTTCCTGCCATTCCAAATTCTTCTTACCCAAAATGAAACAAACACCAATAAGGAGTCTTGCTTGCCCCCAAGAAATAAATCACTTCTGCCAGATACACAGTTTCCCTCTGCTAATTCCTCCAAAAATTGGACAGGGTTTCTACCTGTCAATTATTTCTCTTAAGAGGTGACGGGCTGAAAGTAATGTCACTTCTTAGAGTCAGTAGGTGGATGAAGCTTTTGGCAACTCTCCCAGAAACCCTTTTCTTGTTTCTGTAAGATACTGCTGGGGCAAAGTTGCTAATCTACAACTGTGCTGCAAATCTCAGCCCAAGAACATATGTTCTTGTGCTGTCAAGAGAGAGAACTGCAGTGAAAACATTACGTAGTGCCAACCGCCCACAAAAGATATATGGGTGTTCAAGCCCAATGCACCGAGCAGAAAATTAGGATTGTTCTCATTGCTTTGCTTGAAATGTCTGTGTCATATATAATCAACAAAATAGCCTGGAACAAAGCACAGCCATCTCTTTTTGCATGGGAGTAGCTAACGTAAGAGAAGTAGTGAGGACTTGTTTTAGTTCAAAAAACCAAAATACATTTGTAAAAATTCAGCGTTAGTACTTTGGTAAGCAACTAGTGACAGAGACTTTAAAAATGAACCTTTTAGAAACAACGCTACAAATGAAGTTGTAGTGTTGACTGGGAAAGTAAAGGAGAATTCTTAATAACCATTCCTAAGAGAAATAGGATTCATTGCAAAATCTTGACTCACATGAATCACAGAATGGTTTGGGTTGGAAAGGACCTTAAAGATCTTCCAGTTCCAACCCCCTTGCCATGGGCAGGGACACCTTCCACTAGACCAGGTTGCTCAAAGCCACATCCAGCCTGGCCTTGAAGACATCCAGGGATGGGGCATCCACAGCTTCTCTGGGCAACCTGTTCCAGTGCCTCACCACCCTCTCCATGAAGAATTTCTTCCTGATATCTAACCTAAACCTCCCCGCTTTCAATTTAAAGCCATTACCCCTTGTCCTGTCACTACAGGCCCTTGCAAAAAGTCCCCCCCCAGCTTTCTTGTAGGCCCCTTCAGATACTGGAAGGTGCTAGAAGGCTGTTATTTTTCTTTCTGCATAAAGAAATCAAGATGCTGAAAACACAAAAATACCATCTAGCACAAATTAATTTGGGATCAATTCAAAACATATATTAACTCACAACATAATATATATTAATTCAAACATCTATTATCTATTAGTATTATTAGTATCTATTGTACTAACTAACCTACGTCAGTTCTTTCTGAATATTCTTGATATAATGTTTTCTTGTGCCTTGCTTCTCGTCTCTACATGAGATCATGTGCATTCCTTTCCAGTTTGGTCACCATGCTCCAGCAGACATGAAATCTTTTCACGACAGTCAAGAATATGTACATGCTGAACAACTTGCTGTACTTGCAAGAGACTAGTGTCAAAGACTAGCTGATATTCAATTCTCCCCCGTTTCCGCTAACTTCAGACTCCTAAAGAAATCTCATTATACTATGTATGGCCCTCTGTACCTACACTTCTGGACTAACGAAGTACAGTCTCATTACAATTTCAGAAAAATTAACTGAAAATGTTAACACTTCAAGCGGATTACATTATCATTTTTCTCCTCCAAATCAGAATAGTATAAAAGATATTTTTTGAAGCACGCGCTTCTGTGCCACGTCTCTACAAGCGACAGAAAAGATACTACTACGTACCTGAAATCCCAACCAAGCAGAGACCTAAAGGCACCATGCTAAACTGGCACCTCTGCAAGACTGTGGACCTCAATGCCTACGAGCACGGTGCTTCTATAGATGTTTTTAAAATAACCAAACATCCACCAAAGACAGTTCAGTTCATTAGCAGCCTGTAAGACTTCTTTATGTGGGGTGTGGGAGTCCTGGCTGCAAACTCTCAGTTTGCATTTACACTACAGAGAATTAACAGTAAAAGAAAAACAAAAGCTACAATAGCTATAATAAGTCATATATTTTCCACAGGATTTTGTGCTGTGCAGTCAGAATGGTAACCAAAAGTGCAAATTTTCTTTAAAAATCACTCATTTCTAATGGAAAACATACATATGTTTTTTCTTTTGAGTTTCGTTGCAAGTTACCGTCAGAGTTATGGACAGTGTCAGGGCCTGCACAAAAATGAATATTTGTTCGAATTTATTTTCTCCAATAATGCACTGAGAAGAGAGCTTCCCACTGACTTCTCTAGCTAATGATGTAATTCATGTAGAGATACTGAAATCATATTGAAAAAATGAAGAAAAAAAAAATACTCTGCATTTCACTGTTTTAGTTTGAAGAATGTTATCAAGGAGAGACAGCATTTGCAATCTGTGCTTCGTATTACTTGACTAGTGCCTCCGAAATTAAAACTAGCAATGCTATGTCAGAGAGACAGACCAGACCAGCTGTGGGCATGCAGATTATTCACTGACATTAGAGATCAGTAAAAATCATTACAGACAAGACCTATTTGCAAAGAAAACGTGTGAGAGCATTTAGGCCCTGCTTTGCAGCATAATAAGTAATCAGAGCTTCAACTACCGTTAACGGCAAAAATCAAGTTTTTAGAGCCCCTGCTGTGGACATCACCAAGTCTCCGGAGGGCAGGACACGTGTGCAACTCAAACACCCCTCTGCTGATGATGGAGTTTGGTGGGCAAGGTCAGAAAATTCAGGTTTAAAACAAGAGCAGGTGAGAGAAGGACAAAAGAACAAGTCAAGATTCATGCATATTTGTCATATACTGGATGGAGAAGGGGAAAGAAATGTACCTTTCTTTCATGAGCACTGGGTACGCCAGGGGTGTTCTGCTTGAGAAAGCCTGCTGTTGTGGACCACCTCGTAGGGTTTTTCCTTGAAGGCTCTTCTGAAGAAAAATTTGTGTCACTTACAGAGGTTGAAAGGCCAATCAGTGCAGGGTCACTACTACGTCGGACATGAAGAGGCATATCTGAAGAATAAAACAGACAGTAAATAAACACTGACTAGACTTAAAATGTTTTTCACATAAGAAAAGTATTTTTTCAAGCTCTGGATGGGTGGTTTTGACCAAATGTTGTTTCACAGAGTAAGGAGTTATTGACCTCATAGTTCCTCAAGGACAAGGTCTGTTTCCTCAAAACCTCAGCCTTGCTGCTTGGCCACATGAGGAGAAAATGAGGGCAAACCAAGCTCTTTGAACCCAGCAGAGCTCGTTGGCTTTACAAGTATAAGCACAGCATTGCTACTCAGTCGGCTGTTGTGTAAAATAAGAAAAAACCATAAGCTTTAACAACTAAGAGCCTAAGGTGACTTAAAGGTATTTTAAAGAGCCAGCAGTCTATGGCCTCAATTGAACAGCCTGGTGACAACTAAGGGGTGGACGAGGACAACGCGCCCCCCACCCCACTGCCACGGCTGCAGCACAGGCACTGCCAGCACAACACGTTGCAAGAAGCTGCGCAACAGCTCCTCTGAAGCGAAAGGCAACCTCCTCGCCTCCTCAAACACACTCTCAGTTTCTTTCTCAAACCCTGTGGAAGTGCCAGTTTTCTATTCTGCATTCTTCCTTTGACTCTTCCTGACAGCTGAAACAAGATCTGTGCTGATTTACCCTGATTCCCTCAGCCCTCCAGCTGGCATGACTGACAGGAGAAAAATATTTCATTAGTAATAAACGATGCAGCAGGCAGGTAGGCTGATTGGAAAGAGATAGTTTTTCTTAATATACACAGAGGTCAAAACCATTCTGGAAACTTTGACGGCACATTAAAGTTACTTTCTCTTGAAATACAACTTAATTTTTTCCAATTTCATTTATTATCCTACAACAAATATCCACACAGCTATCGTCTCCTTGCCCAAAGAGGAGTTTCATTGCCTGTATTTGCGACCTCTTAGCACTCTCCCAACTCAGCATCAGAACAGAGGGGTTGTGATTTATCAGTTGTATTTCCCTTCACTGCTGAGCTGGGAACCTTGAATGCACCATGGAAAAGGAAAAGGTGAAAGCTACGACACGTAAGCAGCAGTCACTGGGAAAGGCACGCTGGGCAACACCTCAGAAAGAAAACTGGGCTATTTTTTAATGCTTTGATGAAAGTTCCTGCAGAAGCTGAAGGTGCACATCTTGCCTTTTTTTTTAATGTTTTTTAACAACTAGGACTCCTGCTGCAGAGGTATGCACAAGTGTTACAGGACGAAACACCAGTCATTCCATTTCATGTCCACCCTGGTATACCAGAATAGCAGAGAATTAATTTATGTTTTTTCCCCCACAATCATGGTATTACTTCTCCTTCCTCTGAAAATTCTTCTTTTATTTTATTATTTTCAGAACAAAAGTATTCACAAAAGTTAATTTCTAGCAAATAAAATGGGTTTTTTCATAAATATGTCCATTTCTACATATTTTGATATGCGTAGGTATAACAGAACTAGAAGTAACTAAAAGACTATTTCAGAAAAGAAGACTAATTATCAGAAAAGTATTTATGGTTGGAGTTAACTCTACTTAGCTTTCAATTCCTCAGTATACACTCATAAGCCCGTATTAGAGGGTTTTTCTTTCATTGCCTTGTCTTCAACTACTTTGAGTTGGATGAAGCAGCTGAAGGTAAGTCTCTCATTTCCCCCCTAGATGGCAAACATCATAAAAGCACACTACCAAATCTCAAGAGCTCTCTGTAACAAAGGTGGCACAGCTGCAGTTCCAGCCACAGCCCCACAAAGTGTAATGAAGTGACCCATTAACAGCGGTGCCCATGCTGCTGGCGTAGCCCTGAACATACACTCTCATTTATCAGATTAGCCTGGGCAAGAAAGTGGCTCTGTAGTATGCAGTGCCATTTAAGAAGACCAATCTATATTTGTTCCAAGCAGCAGCCCGTGCATATTATCCTGTTTGCCTTAGCTACCCACCCTACAGCAGAGAATTACAATTTTCAAACATGAGTTCACTTGCTCCTTATGCTCATACATCTATATATAAGCGCGGTGATAGCAAAATGTTCTTGTATTTTTACACCCTTTCTTCGGATTACTTGACAAAACAAAAGTTCAGTTGGGTGAACTTCTGCAAGAAGCGAAGTCGAATTGCCAACAAAGAAAGAAAGGAAGAAACTGGAACTCAAGTCACTGCTGCTGGAGGCAAGCAATTCACTGCCTTGCCCTTGGCTCTGTAGCAAAAAGTGACAGTTTGCACCATGCTATGTAGCAGAGGTTTTTCACAACATAGAACGTTAATTATGCAATAGAATTCCCAAAAATTAATATTCTCCAGACAAAACATTAACACAAGAAGTTGCTCTATGAAATCTATTCCCTGATGAGCCACCTTTAATATGACCCATTTCATTTTAGTAAGGTTAGTTACTGACGTATTTTCATACATTTATTCAACATTTCTCCAAATGTTAACAAAATTATTCTGCCAGTACAAAGATACAACGTGATCAGTTCTAGTCTCTCCATATGAAAACAGTTCCATACATAAGGAAAAGTGATTTGAATTACTAACCAAACTTCACAATAAAAGTCAATTGTAAAAGATGGTAATTCGGATGAGTTGGATCTATGTACTTCCCAGTGAAACTAGAAATTTAAACATACAGTAATTTTTTCTGTATTGCTGGAATGGGACAAGCTCACGGAGCTGTCTTTTGTGTACGCTGCTTGGCAGTGGTCAAGGTATGTGTCTCCAGGTATGAATCCAAGAATTAAATCTTATTCATACTGTATTAACCACAAGTTGTAATATAATCTCCGGCATTTCTGCCTCCAATTCTACTCTGAGAGACCATTCTAACTCAGTTTTGACACTCCCCATTAAAACAACAACAAATATATTAAACAGATTTTTCTACCAATATTGTTGGTTACACTCTTCCGGTTTACCTGAATTTATAGTTTTGAAGAGGACATACTCTGAAATATTAAAAGGAAAATCAAAGGAAAGGAACTTAATAATTAAACCACAAGATGAAGTACGCATGGGAGCAATGCAATGTCACTGATTCCAGGATGATGGCTGATACCGTTTGAAGTTTGTGGTTTCTTTGAAGAGTGGATAAAACAGCAATGAACTCTAATCACAAGGCTTCAAATTCTCTGTGGCACTAATGCACTGTAAATATTGATTTGCTTCTGCAGCTAAGGTGCCTTTTAAATAAGCACTTGAAACGGTAAATCTAATAAGGAATTACAGGAAGTTTTAAAAGTCCACGAATTAAGGAAAAATTAAATTAAAAATCATGAAAGTTACCACTAACTCAGTTCTTGAGCCACATTCAAGGACTTAAAGTATTCAGCAATGAGTCCAACACTGTAACTTCAGAAAGAATTATGTGTGACAGAGAATCCCATTAAGTTATGTATATAGCCACAGTTCTGCTCGAAAATGGTTATTTGTAGGATAAATCCAAGCTGGATAACAAAATGCTCACATTCATAATCATGAAATTCTGACTGGAAGTCTCATTTTATTAAAAGCAATAGCAGTTTCACTATAAATTATAAAAACAGCCAATATACATTTTATAACCATCTTTAAACGTTAAGAACACAGAGTTGTACCTTTCCTTCCTGCCAGCAATTCCATTTTTATTTTAAAAGGGTCATCACCTTCTCTGATTTTCAAATATGCTCACGAGCAAAAGCATTTGAGGATCTGGCAAATTTCATACATAAAGCTGAACACGGCGCCCTGCATGCCGGCATTCAGCACAAAGGATGGTGGTCTCAAAGCAGAGATAATATATACCTTCCCATACCAATTTCCTCTTCGATGTCAGCTTGGAGGGCACGACTAGAAAAACACACACATGTATTTATAGAGCATAGCTAAGACAATTTTACCCTGAAGATTTCAACTGATGTTTCAGCTCAGTGCCACTGGCAGCTTGCACAGTTTGGTGTGCCGTGAATTTAAGGCACAGAAACGAAAAATGATCTTATGGTCATTTCTGGCCAATTCACACAGACCATCAGACCCATGACTGGTGGAGTGGACCTAAGCAGGTCTTCCCCCTGCCCTTTACCCTCAAAAGTCTCCCCTCTGGGAAAACGATGATATGGTAAAACCAAAACAGTCTGTGGCGAAAAGTAGCTTTTCAACAAGGAAGTTGCTCAGAGTTTCTGAAAGTGAGCCTGTAGATATGTATATACATTGAGGTGTGTTGTATACACAACACGTACAGAGGATCTACCTCAGCACCAAGAAACCCGTCTGGGGATGGGAGATAGAGACTCAACAGTTTTGCTACTTGTGTCACCCATCCAGCTCATTGGACCACTCAAATCCTCATCTATTGTTCAAGAGGATGAATTAGGGTCTTCCTGGGGCTCAGGAAAGCCCCAGGACTCTTCTTTCAGCTTAAAACTACTTGAAACTATTTTAACTGGTTTCTTAAGTTTTGACTTCGTCTTCATTTAACTGAAATAGCTTTTCAAAAATATTTATATTAGCCTTGAGTTTCACACTCCAGCATAGCTCCCCAAACTCCGGTCCCAATTTCAACAGGTTCAGTTCAGCTCCTCATTCCACTCAGTTGGACACAGCAAAGGCCAAGCATCCCTAATAACCTTCCAAATCTCAAATCCCAAGATTGGTTCAACCTTCATTCTTGCAAACCTCTAGAGACCAGACAATGGAACTTCCAAAGACCACTGAGGCTGCTGCAAACTAACTACCACACAGGTTTTCAAAGCTTTTTCTCTTCAGAGAGTAGAAAAAAGGTTGGAGGCAAAAACCAACTCATTGTGAACTTAGCTACAAAACTGCATAAAACCCTTGCAGCAGCTAACATAGGGCAGCACTTCTCTACAAGATTAAGTAAATCAAATGTAGGCATCTTGAATTAGAAAAGAAAAAAATATTAACAACATAGGAAGTTCCAAGAGGTGAAGAACAACTCCGTAAACAACTCCATCATCTGTCCTGCAGAAGCCAACTCAGACATGCTGTATGGAGAT